ATTTTGGCATAACTGAACAGCTTTTACAATCAAATGTTTTTCTTTAGTTATGAATATCAAAGGCAACATAATCCAGATTCTTTGTGTAATATTCATCTTTACGTGGCTTTTTATATTAATTTATTTTTTTTATCTCTTTTAAGCCTGCGTATATTTTACACACATTGTAAATGATTTTATCTGAATCAGTCTTTTTGTGAATCTATTGCTTTAAACTGTAGTTTAACTGTAGTATTCTAAGAGTAAAACCGCGCTGTGGCTGCTGGCTCTGCCCTCTTTAGCTTCCCAACATGGCGGTGGTACGTTTTCCGCCAGTTCTCTGAGCCATCAAGTCTCAGAAGTAGTGGGTCTATGCTTTTATCAAAGCAGCGTGTAGCCCCGAAACCTTTTTTTTTTAAACTAGTAAAGACTAAATCTACCACACAGTGTAATGTGCCGGTGGCAGACGCCTCATTTCCGCCATACTGCTGGTCAAACGCAAACGCCAGGAACCCGCTGGTGTTCAAACCTGCGTTTTGCAGCGTCTAGCTGCCCATATGAGACAAGAAGCAGGAACCTGGTTTTGGCTCTGTTTAGAATTGGTTATTAAATATTATCAGGTTTAAGGTGGAAACTCGAGCCGTTGGGCGCCATTTGTTGCTGGAGGGCTTCTCTCCAGGTTCCAAGCCCCGCAGTCCCACAATCCACATATAAAATAATCACTCAGAGACTTATATTACTGATAAACTGTATGGCCGTGGCAGGCTTCTTGCTAACTGTTCTTATATCTTAAATTAACCCATTTTTATAAATCTATACTTTGCCACATGGTTGGTGGCTTACTGGCATCTTTACATGCTGCTTGTCCTGGCAGTGGCTGCAGTGTCTCTCCCTCCTACTTCTTGTTTCCCCAATTCTTCTCTCTCTTTGTCCCACCTATACTTCATGCCTGGTCACTGGCCATCAGTGTTTTATTTATATAAAGTGATATCCACAGCACCCAGTGTTTTTTTTTTTTTCTTTGACTCTTTAGGGGCCCACCACCTAGCACCCAAATAAATCACACAGAGTCTTATTATTACTTATAAAGGACTGGCCTTAGCTTGACTTATTTCTAGCCAGCTTTCCTTAATCTAAATCATCCCATACACCTTTTGCTTCTAGGCTTTTACCTTTCTTTATTTCTGCATATCTTTTCTTTCCTTCTTATTCCATTTCTGACTATATGCCTGGGTGTCTGGCCCCTTCTTTTCTCACTCTTTGATCTCCTCCCAGATCTCTCCTCCTACTTATTCTCTCTGCCTGCCAGCCCTGCCTATCCATTCCCCTGCCTTGCTATTGTCTGTTCTTTATTCAACAAATCAGGTGTTTTAGACAGGCAAAGTAACATAGCTTACAGAGTTAAACAAAATGCAGCATAAAAGAATAAAACACATCTTTGTATCATTAAAGAAATATTCCACAGCATAAACACATGTGACAAATCTTAAAATAATATTGCTCAACCCAAGCTTGTAAAAGAAGCACTATTACAGCTTAAATCACATATTGATACTCACATACTTATAGCAGGAAACTTCAATACCCCACTTTCACCAACAGACAGGCTATCTAGACAAAAACTAAACAGAGAAATTCTGGCACTAACAGTTACTATAAACCAAGTGGACCAAATAGATATTTACAGAACATTTCACCCAAACACAAAAGAGTATGCCTTCTTTGGAAGAAACTTTCTCCAAAACTGGCCACATACTTGGACACAAAGCAATTCTCAACATGTACAAGAAAATTGAAATAATACCCTGTATCCTGTCTGACCATGACAGATTATAGCTGGATATCAATAACAACAGAAACAACAGAAAGTTTACAAAATCATGAAAACTAAGCACCTCTTTACTGAATGAAAAATGGGTCAAGACAGAAATAAAGAAAGAAATGGAAGACATTTTAGAACTGAATGGAAATGTTACACAACATACCCAAAGTCTGGCACACAGTAAAAGCAGTTCTAAGAGGCAAGTTCATAATCATATATGAAAAGAGGGACATAATAAAAAACACCAAACAAGGAAACCCAGAGAATCACAATGACAACTTTAAAAACCTGTACTCCACCAAATAGGAATATCTAAAAGAAATAGGTAATTTTCTCAATAGATACCACTTACTAAAGTTAAATCAAGATCAGATAAGTAATTTAAACAGATCTATAACCCCTAGCAAAATAGAAGCAGTCATTAAGTCTCCCAACCAAGAAAAGAACAGGGCCAGAAGAACTCAATGCAGAATTATATTGGACTTTCAAAAAACAATTAGGGCCAATATTTCTTGAATTATTCCACAAAACAAAAATGGAGGAAATATTGCTGAGTTCATTTTATGAGGCCACAGTTACCCTGATATCCAAACCACATAAAGACAAAATAAATAAAAAGAATCACAGAATACTTTCCTTATGAACAAACATACAAAATTTCTCAATAGAATACTTGCAAACTGAATCCAAGAACACATTAAAAAGAATTCATCTACCATTGTCCTGGCTAATTTTATGTCAACATGGCATGAGCTGGAGTCATCTGGAAATCCCAACTGAGAAAATACCTCCATCAAATCTAGCTGCAGGGCATTTTCTTAATGAGTGACTGATGGGGGAGGGCTCACCCCATTGTGGATGGTGGTATCCTTGGGCTGGTGGTCCTGCATTCTATAAGAAAACAGGCTGAGCAAGCCATGGGGACAAGTCATATGCAGCATCCCTCCATGTCCACTGCATCACCTCCTACCTCCAGGTTTCTGCCCTGTTTGAGTTCCTGTTCTGGCTTCCTTCAATGATGGACTACAATGTGGAAGGGTAAAGGTTTATTAAAACTCTTTCCTCCCCAACTCATTTTTGGTCATGGTGTTTCATTGAAGCAATAGAAACACTAACTAAGGCAACATAACCAATAAATTTCATTCTAGAGATGCAGGGATAGTTTAAAATATGTAAATTCATAAATGTAATCAACTTATAACTAAAACAAAAGACAAAATACGCTTGATCATCTCATTAGGTACAGAAAAGGCTTTTGGCAAAATATAATACCCTTCATGATAAAAGTCCTGGGGGAGATTAGCGATACAAAGGACATACCTCTACACAATAAAGGTAGCTTACAAGCAAGCCCACAACCAAAATAAACTTAAATGGGGAGATCCTCAAAGCAATGCCACTAAAATCAGGAAAAGACAAGGTTGCCCACTCTTTCCATCCTTATTCTATATAGTACTTATCTTAGCTAGAACAATAAAACAACTGAAGGAGACTAAAGTGATACTGAAATTGGAAAGGAAGAAGTCAAAGTATCTTTATTTGCAGATGATATGATAGTATACATTAGTGACCCTAAAAATTTCATCATGATACTCCTATATCTGACAAAATACTTTCAGCAAAGGAATTGTATATAAAATCAAGACACAACAATCAGTGGCCCTCCTATACACAAATGATAAATGGACTGAGAAAGAAATCAGAAAAAACCTCTCACAATAGCCTCAAAAAATATAAAACATCTTGGGCTAACTCTAATAACCAAGTAAAATACTTGTAAAACCTACAAGTCCTTGAAGAAAGAAATTGAAAACTATATCAGAAGATGGAATCTCCCACACTTAGGGATCAGGAGGACTAATATTGTAAAAATGGTCTTCCTAACAAAAGCATTCTACAGATTCAATGTATTCCCTATCAAAATTACAACACAATTCTTCACAGATCTTCAAAGAGCAATTCTCAGTATGGAAAAAAATCCAAGATAGCTGAAAGAATCCTAAACAATTAAAGAAGTGCTGGAGATATGACTATTCCATATTTCAAGCTGTACTACAAAGCTATAGTAATAAAAACAGCATGGTATTGGCAAAACCACAACAAAACCAACCAGCCAACCAACCAAACAAACAAAAAACAGACATGCTGATCAGTGGAATAGAATTGAATACCCAGACATAAATCTGCACACCTATGTACATCAAATTTTTTATAAGAAGTCAGAAATACACACTAGAAAATAAGACAGAACCTTCAACAAATGGTGCTGGTCAAACTGGGTGGCTGCATGAAGAAGAATGCATACAGATCCATACTTAATACCCTGCATAAAACTCAACTCCAAAGTGATCAAAGACCTCACTATAAACCATATACTGAACCTGATGGAAGAGAAAGTGAGGAATACCCTTGAACTCATTGCCACAGAAAAACACTTTCTGAACAGAACACCATTATCATAAGCCAATTAATAAATTAACAATTAATCAACAATTAATAAATGAGATGTCACAAAACCAAGAAACTTCTGCATGGCAAAGTACACTGTCATTTGGACAAATTGGCAGTCTAGAGAATGGGAAAAGATGTTTTACCAACTACACATCCAATAGAGGGCTAATATCCAAAAGACATAAATAATTTAACAAACTAGATATCAAGAAAACAAACAACACTTTTTAAAACTGGGGAACAGATCTACACAGAGAATTCACAAAACAAGAAATCCAAGTGGCTGAGAAACACTTAAATAAATGTTCAACATCCCTATCCACCACTGAAGTGTAAATCAAAACTACTATAAGATTTCATCTTACATCCATAAAAATGGTTAAGGTTAATAAAACAAGTGAGAAGATATGGAATAATGGGAACACTCATACATTACTGATGGGAGTGCAAACTTGTAAAATCACTATAGAAAACAGTATGGCACTTCTTCAGGAAGATGGGAGTAGATCTACTTCAAGATCCAGCTATATCTAACTCTTGGGCATTATGGTGGTTTGAAAGAAAATGGTCCCCAAAGGTAGTGGTACTATTAGGAAGTGTGACCTTGTTGAAGTGTGCCACTGTGGGGGCAGGCTTTGAGGTCTCATTTTCACAAACTTCCCTCAGTATGACAGTCAGTTGACTTCCTGTTGCCCATGAGATGTAGCACTCTCAGCTCCAGCACCATATCTGCTTGCATGCTACCATGCTTCCCTTTGGGATCATAATGGACTGAACCTCTGAAAGCATAAGAAAGCCACCTTCAATTAAATGATTTCTTTATAAGAGTTGCTGTGGTTATGGTGTCTCTTCACAGTAATAGTAAACTCTAAGACAAGCATACACCCAAAGGATACATCATCCTACTATAGATACACTTGTACAAACAACCATGTTCATTGTTACTCTATTTATAATGGCCTAAATTCAGAAACAACCTAGCTGTCCCTCAACAGAAGAATGATTAAAGAATATGTGGTACATCTACACAATGGAGTATTACTCAGCCATTAAAAAGGAAATCACAAAATTTTCAGGTAAATGGACCACAGATGTTAGGTGTAGAATAAGGGACTAGGGGGTACACATTGATTTTGTCAGGGAAGTAAAATAGAATAGATAGTTATAGATGGATTGTGAGAGGGAGGCTGGAATGCATGGGTCAAGTGGGGAGAAATATGGAAGAGGGAAATAGGGGTTGAAGGAGGGAATACTGGGAGAGACAGCTAAAATTAAGGTCTAATTGAGGGTTAGTATGGAAACATAATGTAGTAGATGTTTCCTAAAATATATGAAGGCCATCTAATTGAAAGTGCCAAACAATAGGAGAGACAGAGGTCCAGCTGGCCACCTCTTGTCACCACATGAAGCTTCCAGTTCTGGGACTTGGTTACATCTAATTGAGTTATTAGCCAAAGACATCCCATGGGAATCTCCAAATAGCATAGGCTATTTCTAAGACTATAGGTTGCTCTTCACAAACTAACAGCAAAGTTCCTTTACTGAGCACAAAACCTACATAACTTGTTGAATGTGGAGAAGTGGAACTGGTGCCCACATAGAGCTTTTACTGCTATGTTCCAGTGTCTTGGTTATTGGAAGGCACTCTGCATGCTACCAAAAGAGAAATGTGTACACAAACCCTTTGATTTAAAATGGTATCCTACCTGCAAGATATGCTAGGGAAGTTGTGGCACAAAGCTCTTGGAAATCAACCACCATCTGGTTTAGGCTTTAGCCCCACCCCCCCATAAGAGGGAACCCATACCTGATGCTTCTTGGGTAACCAAGAACTTGAGACTAGATAGCCTTGTGTTCTAGAGAAAAAAACCAATATACTTTTCTTAAAAAAAATAGCAATAAAATGATTCCTAATGAGATTCTGTTGTACTCAGATCAGTGCTATGGTGATAGTTTATTTGTGCTGAAATGTGATTTTATTTGTATGTTAACAAATAAAGTTGCCTGGGGGTCAGAGCTAATAGCAAGCCATTTAGCAGAAGTCTGGCAATGGTAGCACACACCCTTAATCCCAATCACATGACAGGCAGAATTTCTATGTGTTCAAGGACACAGCCAGCATGGAGACACACGCCTTTAATCTCAATATCAACCATAGAGACCTGGGGGTTTGTATAGACGGGCAGTGATGAGGAGGTCATGTGGTTGGGTTTACAACCAATGAGAAGGCAGAACAGAAAGTAAATAAAAATACAGACACACAGGAATTAGGTCTCTTTTTCCCAGGGGAAGGATGACAGTGGCTGGTAAGCTAAAGGCTATTTGCTAGTGCTCTGACCTCTTGGGCTTTTAACTCTTTATTTGGCTCTGTGTTTCTTATTTAATAAGACTTTTTAGAATTATATCTACCTTTGGCACCCACGTAGCAAGAATCCATTAAAAACTGCCCAGCTCAGCCTGGTGGCCCAGTTCCCTGACTCCTCAGCTCGGCCCAGCTTGGCCTAGCTTGGTCTATGCCCCAGGCCAGACCGACCATAGCTACAAGCAGTTACCCACAGCTGGAGCTACTTGCAGCCAGATTGCCAATTCAGGTGGCTCAGGCTCAAAAAAGCCAGTGCTACGAACAACTCAGGCCTTAATCAGCTCAAGCAGGAGCATGTGGCACATGGCTTCTCTCTCCCTCTCATTCTCTCTTTGGATTCCCATCTCAAATGTTAGGTAGCTGTTTTGAAATTCCCTCAGATTTCTACTATTCTACACAGAAATGGTAAGCCAATTATGATATAAGATATTTTAAATGGAAAAACCACTTAAAAGAGAAAAAATTTTTCCACATTAAAGAAAATTAGTAATATCTGTACAATAGAAGAAAATTGGCCTTTGTTTGATAAAACATTAAGCAGTCTGAAAATGGAACAATTACATGAGAGAATTAATGTTGATGGGATATATGTAATATAATTTATGCATTTTGCTAGTTTACTTATTCTTATTTTACAATTTAAAAAGATAGTCAATTTAAGTGCCAGGACAAAAGCTTTAGAAAAACCTGTTAAAATGAATTATAGAGAAATTCAGAGTCAGACAAAAGAATTTAAGGGTGAAGTTATTTCAGGATTGCATTATAAGGTTACAGAAAGAAAGCCTGTTTTCAAACAATCAAACTTAATTTATCTGGTAACTGTACAGCAGCTACCTGATCAAGTGAATATACAAACTAATTGGACTCCAGTTGAAATGTTAGATTTAAGAAGGTTTAAAGAGACAACAGCATTTTATGGCATTCATTCTCCATTTGTAAAGCAAATGTTAAATCCTGGTCCACTTGTAATAGGACTACCCCTCAAGACTGGAAAGAACTTGTAACTGCTGTCCTGGAACCCGGAGCACAGCTGCTGTGGCACATGTGGTTCAGAGATAAGGCTAAAACCATAGAAAGTCACTGGAGGGCTAGAGGTGTGGAAATCTCCCAGGATCAGTTTCTTGGAGAAGGCCAATATGCTGAAATACAAAGACAATGTTTATATGATAAGCAAACCCTAATTCTATGTTGAACGGCAGCCATAAATCATGGGACAGAATTGAGGAAGCAGGGAAGAAAATTGAGTCATTCACAAAAGTTATACAGGGTCTGAAAGAATCCTTTATGGATTTCTTACAAAGACTGTCTTCAGCAGTAAATTGAATGGTCCCCAATTCAGAAACCATCCAAATAATAAGAGAATCTTTGGCTTTTGAGAGTGTTAATGCAGCATGTAAGAGAATAATCTGTTAAAGGCAAGATCTGAACCCTTGGATAATTGGATTAGAGACAGGATTAATGTTGAGTCTCATGGACATGATGATATATGGATAGGAGAAGCAATTTCAAGAGGATTTAGAAATGTCAGATGCTTTGGATGTGGAAAGCAAGGTCATTTGAAAAGGGACTGTAAACAGGGCATTTCTAGAAACAATGTTTCTTCAAGGAGCAATGGTAACAGAATGCCCCTTCCTTCAGGAGTATGCAGAAGGTGTGGTATGGGAAAACACTGGACAAGTGAATGTAGATCAATGAGGGACAAAAAAGCTAATCCTGTGACTTGGTCCTCAGGAAACTCCCAGAGGGTTCTCAGGCAGTCCCCCACATCAAATCCAGTTCAGAACTTTCCTACTATCTTAGAAGAAAACCCTACTCAGAGCAATTAAATAAGCAAATGCTAATTGGAACAAAACAGGCTGCTAGGGTGATAAAACAGCTGAGACAGAATAGAAAATTCATGAGAAACTATAAAGCAAATTTTTTGGCAAACTTCTATAAATTAACAAAGACCAAAATTAACAATAAGAATAAATGATATTTTGTTGTCTGGTCTAGTAGACACAGGTGCTGATGTGACCATAATTGCACCAGAATTTTGGCATCCAACTTGGCCTCTTCAGGAGGTAAACGTTCAGTTTTTAGGAGCTGGAACATTATCTAAAGTGAAACAGAGTGCAAGATGGCTCGAATGTATAGGTCCAGAAGGACAGAGAGGAAAATTAAAGCCATATATGGCTAACATAGATATGAATTTAGGGGGCCAAGACCTGTTACAACAATGGAATACTCTGATTAACATCCCTCCAACCTCAGAAGCAAATCATAAACTAGCAAATGTTTCTGAGAGAAATATTAGAAGGTATTATTCTAATGAGTGGTTACCAGCCATCCAGATTGTACAAGAACAAGGCACAGCAACTGATGATCTTCAAAGACACCAACAGCTCTACATTTAAAATGATTAACAGAAAAGCCTGTATGGGTTTAGCAATGGCCTTTAACAACAGAGAAACTGCAGGCTATAGAAGAGCTGCTAGAAGAGCAGTTAAATGCTCAGCATATTGAAGAATCAACCAGCCCTTGGAATTCTCCTGTATTTGTTATTAAAAAGAAATCTGGTAAATTGAGAATGGTAACAGACCTTAGAGCAATTAACAAAGTAATTCAGCCAATGGGCTCTCTACATTTTGCAGTTCCTTTGCCCATTTTGTCACCTAAAGGATGGCCTCTTATAGTTATTGATTTAAAAGATTGTTTCTTTTCAATACCCTTACAAGAAAAAGACAGAGAAAAATTTTCTTTAACAGTGCCTACTTATAATTCTCAACCAGTTAAGAGATATTAATGGAGGGTCCTCTCACAGGGAATGTTGAATAGCCCAACCCTGTGACAATATTTTGTACAACAGCCATTAGAAGTGATACAAAATATTCCTAAATCTATAATTTATGGATGATATTTTACTAGCTGACTCAAATGCAGATACTTTAGAAAGAATGTTTGAAGAAATAAAGAAAATTTTGCCTTTGTGGGGATTACAGATTGCTCCTGAAAAGATACAAAGAGGAGATTCTATTAATTCTATAATTAGGATATAAAATAGGTTTACAAAAAATTAGATCCCAAAAGGTGCAAATTAGGAGAGGTTGATTACAGACTCTTAATGACTTTCAAAGATTATTTGGAGACATTTCTCATCTACAAACTATTGTTGGGGTAAAAAATGATAAACTGAATAATTTGTTCAAAACCTTTGAAGGTGACCAGGTCTTAAACAGTCCAAGAGAATTATAATCTGAAGCTGAGAAAGAATGGGCCTTGGGAGAAAAGAAAGTACATGAAGGACATGTGTATTGTATTGCTCCAAAGATGGATTGCATTTTGGTTATTTTACCCTCTAGGCATTCTTCTACAGGAATTATAATGCAGAGGGAAGATATTACATTGGAATGGATATTTTTATCAAATGAACCAAATAAAAAATTAAAAACTTATGTGAAAAAAATCTCTGACTTGATTTTGAAAGAAAAATTGAGACTTCATCTATTAGTAGGAATAAACCCAGCAGAAATTGTCATACCTTTAACTAAGGAGAACATTGAAAAATTATGGGCAGAAAGTGAACCTTGGCAAAGAGCTTGCAGTAATTTTTTGGGAGAAATTAACAGTAAATATCCCAAAAGTGATAAAATTAATCTTATAAAGAGAGCTGATTGGATTTTGCCTTGAATTGTATAGGAGACACTCCTATCTGGAGTTCGTACATTTTATATAGATGCCAACAATCAAGGAAAGGCAGGTTACAAATCAGAAAATTTAAGTAAAATGGTTCAAAGTCCTTATAATTTGGTTCAAAAATTGGAATTGTATGCTATTCTGTTGGTATTAATGGATTTTTCAAAAACTTTCAACATAGTTACTGACTCTCAGTATGCTGGAAAAGTGGTATTACATTTTGAGATTGCAGAATTTATCTCTGATGCATCAGAATTAACTTCACTATGTATTCATTTACAAGATATAATCAGGAAAATGAGTCATCCTTTATATATAACTCACATCCAATCCCATACTGGTCTGCCAGGCCCTCCAGCACAAGGTAATGATGAGATTGATAAGTTATTGATAGGAAATGTACTGGAGGCCTCAGAATTTCATAAAAAACATTATGTCAATAGTAAAAGTTTAAAAAAGGATTTTTCCATAGCCTGTCAACAAGCGAAGGAAATTGTAAGGAAATGTCCTACTTGTTTCTCTTATAATCAGATGCCATTACCAGCAGGATGTAACCCCAAGGGTACTCAGAGGGCTGAAATCTGTCAGATGGATGTATTTCACTATGCAGAATTTGGAAAATTGAAGTATGTACACCATACCATTGAACTTATTCAGGATTTCAATGGGCAACTGCTTTGAGTTCTGAGAAAGCTGATTATGTAATCACTTATTTGCTAGAAGTGATGGCCATCATGAGTATACCTACACAAATCAAAACTGACAATACTCCATCATATGTCTCTGTTAAAATGAAACAGTTTTTTGCTTATTATAATATAAAGCATATTACAGGTATACCACATAATCCTACAGGTCAAGTAGTTATAGAAAGATCAAACAGAACTCTAAAGAATATGCTAAATAAACAGAAAGGGGTAACAAAAACCCCCAGAAATAGACTGCATAATGCTCTATTAACTTTGAATTTTTTCAATGCTAATGAGAAAGGAACAACAGCTGCAGAGAGACATTGGATAATAGAAAAAAACTACAGAATTAAATCAGCCTATATACTTTAAGTATATGCTGACCTCAGAATGGAAACCAGGATATGTGTTACATTGGGGATGAGGTTTTGCTTTTGTTTCTACAGGAGAAGATAAGCAGTAGATACCATCAAAATTGATAAAGGTTCGATTTGAACAAGAGACTTCTTAATTAGAAGAGGTGATAGTTCATCAACCAGCATGACCATCCAATTTAAACTAACTTATACCAGTAACACATGCCTTTTCATTTAATCAGATAATAACTTGCCAAAAAGAAACATCCCCAAAGTTAGTCTTGGGGAAAGGTTTTTGTTTTTGTCTTTTAGGAGAATGAAGGTTAAGGAATCTGAAGAACACTGGACAAATGAGACAACTGAAGAAAAAGGACAAATCATCTAAAAAACTATGTCCTAAGAAAAAGAGTAAAATGGCCTATGGTATATCATTTATAGAATTTCATAAGTCTTCCTAAATGTTTGTTTCTGCTCTTCTCTAAAGACATTTAACACTATTGGTCTTCTTGTAGTCCCAGTTCAATTAAAATTTAAAGCTGACTTTGGAGTTGGAGAATGGCTCTCTTCTTCGTTAAACCCAAGCATGTTGTTAAAAGCAAAATGCAAGCTCCCTGTATTATGCCAGAAGAAAGAGCCATCTTCTGATACGGGACAGGAGAAAAAACAAACAAACAAACAAAAAAAAATTTAGGGACTATTCTATTACTACTAATAATCACAATTCTTTGATTCTATTCTGATTCTTTAAACTTTTCTTAAAGTATGAATTTTATATCAAAATTTATAATATATATATATTAAACTTTGTTAAGATATTAATGGTAATATAGACTACTAACTAATTCTAGAAAAAAGGATTCAATTAGCTCCTGATACATGTCTTTGTGTTCTAGTCTCTTACCAGTTTTCTGCAGGAAATCATGACCAGGCCTAATATCAAATCTAAAGTCTCCAGGAAAAAATGGGGCGCCACAACAACAACAATTCCACATGGACAATAATAATACCACTAAGCTGACAAACATCATCTACATATCAGCTTTGGACTACAAACTGCTCAGAACAATTTTGAGATGGCTAGCTGAGATGATTCAGTTTCAAAGACTACTTGAATAAGGACTTGAGATAAGACCTAAACTTTGGCATTATGCATAGACTGGACAACAAAAAATATAGCTACCTTTCCTAGATTTTGACAATTAACTCAAAATTTTTCTTTTCAGAATAAAGATGCTTTCACCCATATCCAGCAGGAAGCAGTTTTTTTTTTAAAGATGATTTTTTTTATGTTACAATACCATTCAGTTTAACATAATAGCCACAGATTCCCCTGTTCTCCCCCTCAGCCCCCTCCCCCTCCCCTCTGCCCACCCCCCATTCCCACCTCCTCCAGATCAAGGTCTCCCCCAAGGACCGGGATCAACCTGGTAGACTCAGTCCAGGCAGGTCCAATCCCCGCCTCCCAGACTGAGCCAAGCATCCCTGCATAAGTCCCAGGATTCAAACAGCCAACTCATGCAAGGAGCCCAGGACCCAGCACCAACGCACAGCTGCCTCCTAAACAGATCAAGCCAAATGACTGTCTCACCCATTCAGGGGGCCTGATCCAGTTGGGGGCCCCTCAGCCTTTGGTTCATAGATCCTGTGCTTCCATTCATTAGTGAGAAAGAAGTGGGTTTATATGAGCGAGAATTGTTGAAGCCAAGGTTGGATAAAGCACAGGGACAAATAACCAAATGAAAGGAAGCAGTTTTAAGAATAAGACACCCACATTCCCAAAGAGGTGGTGTGGGGCAGGTGGTTTTTGATCTTTTAATGGGTTTTGGAATGATTTCCATTGTTTAGGAGGGTTGGTTACAAGTTCTTAAGGGTTAGGAAAAGAGCTAAGCAAAGGAAATTAGATTTAAAGTTCCCGTTTAAAAAAACAAGATATATAGAAATGATACGATAGAGGGTAGATTATTGAATCTACTCAGAAAAATAAAGAGAGGATATAGATACAATATAGATAAAAATATAGATTATTGAATCTACTTTTAAAAGACAAATACTAGTTTTAAATACTTTACATTGGATTGGATTTTTTGTATATTGTATACAAATTATATATATTGAGATTGATATTGTTAGAAAATGCTATACATATATTTCTAATCTTGTTCAAGATATTGTACTTATACCTTTCATTTAAAAATGTAATGCAATTTGCTGATCCTTGAAATTTATTATAACTAACTATTAGGGTATAAAGAAACAAAAGTTAATAGTTAGATATTACAATCGAACTTGTAGTCATATTAGGTATGTTTTCAAGATTGAGCAGATATATTTTAGATAGACAGGTATGTTTTCAAGATTGAGCAGATATATTTTAGATAGATAGGTCATCTTCAAACCCTTCAGAGATCTACAGTCTATGGCATTTAAAATGTTTTAATAACCTACAATTTTTTTTCTTTTTTATGACTATGAGACATGTTGGTTCCTGGAAGTACCAATGTACTTCAGAGAAAATATGGACATTGAAGAAACTGCATATGGAGTTAACTTTCATTGCGGCAAAAATTAGACACTGGACAACAAAATATCCTTGAATTGACTGCTGACAAACAGGACAAAATGGACAGACAGGACATGAAACAAAGGACTACCAATTCTTGCCAAGACAAGTGTGATTGTGGCTTTAACAAAAGGCATCTTCTGATGCCAGGACAATAGGGCACCATCCCTGAAGTGGCCTTTACAATCTGGAAAAGGTACAGTGCCCCTTTCTTTGAAGGCAGCTTAACTGGCAGTGGACCAATGGCTTCTCATGTGCAGTGGAACAGCAACTGAAACAGTTATTCTTGAAAGAGTATCTAAGCTGATGGAGTCTGACCTCTCAATGGTAGACTGACATTTAATAAAATAGTTGAAGCCACACACACAAGCCAAGAAGAATAGACAGCTGAATTAAAAAAAAATCAACAATTTCCAGAATTTAAAATCCTGAATCATGACAACACTAGTGGAATTCACGTGTTTCTCATACATGGACTACTCTCACCAAAAGTGAGGTCGAACTGTTGGCATTGTGTACATCATACTTCACAAATGAATCTGTCAGATATGGTAAGCCTATAGACTGAAGATGATGCTCCAACACTGCAGAGAAACCTCGGGTGACTGTCCAGACAGTTGGCTGTTTCTGTCAACTCACATTTTTTTTGGAAGTCGCTTGTTTGTACTTTCTGTTTTATTAGGTAATATTATTTTTTTCTTGGGTCTCTGAGGGAGTTGAAGATTAGATAGTTGTAGTTGAAGATTAGATAGTTATAGTTATAGTTAGTTAAATATTAGATAGTTATAGTTATAGTTTTACTTATTAAGAATTTTAGAAAAGAAATTCACCAAAGAGGTGTAAGTGTATAAACTTGAAGGAATTATAAAATAGTTCTGTTAGTAATATAAGTTAGGATAGAAAGTGAATTAGGTACATTTTGGACTAACCAAAATAGGATAGATAATGGAATTATTTTCTCTGAGTTTGTCAAATGCAAACGGACTAGACATTGTTTAGGTATTTATTGCTTGTATGTATTGTATATAGTTATTGTACTTATTGTTTATAGTTATTCTTATATTAGTTATAACTTTTTCTTTTTATTAGAATAGAAGGAAGAAATATGGTGATAGTTTATTTGTGCTGAAATATGATTTTATTTGTATGTTAATTAATAGAGTTGCCTGGGGGTCAGAGCTAATAGTAAGCCATTTAGCAGAAGTCTGGCAGTGATAACACATGCCCTTAATCTGATCACTTGGCAGGCAGAGTCTCTACATTCAAGGACATAGCCATCTTGATGACACACACCTTTAATCCAAGTACCAACCATAGAGATCTGGAGGTCTGTATAGACAGGCAGTGATGAAGAAGTCATGTAGTTGGGTTTAGAACCAATGAGAAGGCAGAACAGATGGTCAATAAAGAATACAGACACACAGGAAGTACGTCTCTTTTCTCAGGGGAAGGATGGCAGTGGCTGGTAAGCTAAAAGCTATTTGCTAGTGCTCTGACCTCTTGGGCTTTTAACTATTTATTTGGCTCTGTGTTTCTTATTTAATAAGACTGTTTAGAATTATATCTACATGTGCCTTCTTAGCCATCATCAGAGAAAGCTTCCCCCTGCAGTAGATGGGAAAAATGCAGAAACATACAGCCAGTCATGATGCAGTTGTTGTTGTATTAAGGCAACTCCACATAATTAAAAGGAGGTTTATTTTGTGGGGTTACTTACAAGTAAAGTGATAGGTTACAGGGCCCGTAAAAGGTGTAGCACAGTCCAGCGGTGTTCTCTGGAAAACTCTGCTCAATCTACCTCTAGTGTCCAGGATCCAGGAACCAAGAGAGCTGGCACATCTGGATCTGGGGTCTTAAAGGCTCCTGTCTCCCCCCGCCTTGTAGGCGGGACAGTCACCAAAGTCTCAATGGGGGTAGTACTTCCAGGTCAAAGCTGGAACAGCTACCCACTATAATGCAGATAATGAGAGATCTTGGAACACTCAGCTGTAAATAGGATGACTCTATCAAATCATTCCTCTCAGAACTCAGGGAACTCTGTGGAAGAGGAGGAGGAAAAAGTAAGCAGATGGAAGATACCACAAGAACTGGTACCTGTAAATCAACATGACCAAAGCTCACATGAACTCACAGAGACTAAGGCAGCATGCACAGGTCTGCACCAAGTCATTGTTGTATATATTAGGACTTCCAGTTTAGTGTTTTTATGGGATTCCTAAGTGTGCAAATAAGTGAGTCTCTGTTGTTGTTGTTTTTTTTCTGCCTTTTGTTTGGCTCTTTTCCTTCTGTTTGTCTTGCTCATTTCTGATGTGTTAGTTTTTGTTTTATGTTATTATATTTTATTTTTTTATTTTCCCTTAGAAGCCTGTTCTCTAATGAGAGTGAGAAAGGGAGCAGATCTGGATGGGAGGGCAAGTGTGGAGAAATGGTAGGAATGGATGGAGGGAAGGTGTAACAAGGATATATTATGAGAGAAAAAAATCTATTTTCAATAAAGATGATTGTAAGATCAAGGAGTTTGCTGTGAGATTGTGTCTCTAGTAATCTTAGAGACCTATGAAATCTCACCAGCATGGTTGCCCAAACATGAGCAGAATAAAGATGACACCAATAGACATGCCAAAGTGGATGGGGAAAAAACCCACAAGGCCTAAACCCTACACAAAGAACTACAGGCAACTAAGGAATGCTGAGAGCAGGAGAAAAAGTCTTCTCCAGGGAAGAGCACACCAGTTGGTTATCCAGTACCAAATGGTAATCTCTGAAAACACACACTGATAAGATAAAAAGGTCAATTATTGAATCTTCTTTTAAAAAGACTACTTGTTTTAAATAGGATAAGTAATGAAATTCTTTTGTCTGAGTTTATTAGATGTTATTAGACTGGACATT